AATCAAATATAGTGAAAACTGTGGTTATACCATTGGAGAAGAACATACAAAGGAATAAAATAATCACATATTTTAAATACATTAAAAACAACAGCAGCAAAGATAAAACCTCTTGTGTCCCTATCTTGGGGTTCATTTCGCTTAACATCATCTTATATGTTCATATGTACATAGCTTTTGACCATTTCTGCTTGACCTAGACATATATTAGTATTGCATATAAGGGGAACTAGGGGACCTATGTTTCTTTGTGCCTGGCTTACTTCACTTAATATGATTTTCCAAATCTTTCCATTTCTTAACAAATGATGCAGTATCAGTCTTTCTGATGTAGGCATAGAATTCATATATTCATATATATATGTATACCACATATATATATATACAACACATATATATGCCACATATATATCACATATATATATGCCACCATATATATACATACATATATATGTATATATGTTCCACATTTTCTTGAGGGGCATCTGGGTTTCTCTTTGTTGTTTACCATGAGGTTGGTTGATGAGAGAGAGAGAGAAAGAGAGACAGAGACAGAGAGATTGACAAAGAAACAGAGATGGAGAGACAGAGACAAAGAGAGACAGAAAGAAAGAGACAGAAAAAGACAGACAGACAGACAGAGACAGGGAGAGACAGAGAGAGACCTTCTTATAAGAGATTATGGTTCAGATTATTTAAGCTTTCCTTTTTCTATAATATACTTTTGTTCAGAATATGTACATTGATTTTATTGTCAATATCCTGGCTTTGAAATTAAGGAATTTATTCTCATAAGACTTATATTGTTGTGCTAGAAATGACTTAGCATGTCATTTCTAAAACTAGTTTTGAATTATATACAAGTGCTGTAATAATTAACTCTACTTTTAGAGATGCATTGCCTGAAAATGAAATTCTCTCTCTAAGCTGTTGTTCTAATTCTAAACATTTTAGCTATTCTTTGTGAAAACAAAACAAAACGAAAGACCCTAAATGGTGTTTTCTCTCTTCCCAAAGACACTGACAGTTGTTAGAAAACCATAATCAATAATAGTTGTGATATTATGGAGGAAAATAATGTTTTCCACTGGTTTTTAAAAACATGACAATTATTATTTTACAGCTCTGTGATGACAGTTACCAGTTATTGACAGTTTCAATTTTTTTTTTTTTTGCCGGTCGTGGGCATGAACTCTGGGCCTGGGCACTGTCCCTCAGCTCTTCAGTAAAAGGCTAGTGCTCTACCACTTGAGCCACAGCACCACTACCAGCTTTTTCTGCTCATGTAGTGATGAGGAATTGAACCCAGGGCCTCATGCATGCAAGGCAAGCGCTCTACCACTAAGTCACCTTCCCAGCCTCACAGTCTCAATTTTATATTAAATATCTCCCCCCCAAAATATAATTTTTGTCTTATTTTTATCATGCCAAACATTTGCCTAATGCTTTATTTCCTCAATGATAGAGGAACAAAGTCATTGCATAGCATAAAAAAAATGATGCTGACTGAAGAATGAGTTTAATTATTTATTATAGGCCTTTAAAAAATAAAACAATGTGGCATGGAATAATTTTCATGATTTTTATACACTGCAAAATGAACACCTTAAGGAAAAACAAAACTGACCAAGAAAAACGAAGAAAAAAAAAGAAAAAATTATCAATTTTCTCTTAATATTCTGATTTTTCAGTTTTACAAAAAATGTTACTTCCAAACATGTGTTAAATAATTTTTCTGTTACTAAAACCTAAATGTACTTTTGAGAGTTTATACTGCAAGGGAACCCTTTATGAATCTCATAAAAATATGTATAATTCTAACCCAATCAGTTCAAATTTCCAGAGGCTGACATTTCCTCTCTCCCCTCTTTGAGACTGGTTTTGGTTGTGTTGTCCAGAATCAAATTCTGGATCCTTTGGCATTTACCTCCTGACAACTGGGTTACAGAAGTTGCCAGTTAACAGTGGCAAAATCCAGAGATTGACTTTGTTAAGCAGGTTTTAAGGAAAATGCATACTTTCAGGACCGATCCTTTTAGCATAATATACACAGGGCTGGCAAAGACAGGAGAACTTAAGTGCTTTGCTTTGCCTGGCCTTTTCTGAGAAGGAAGGCAGGATAGATGTGAACGCTTAGCATATGATGAGAAAATGACTGGTTTCTATATTTACTTACACAAGTATACCACTGGGTGTAGTTGAGGATTGACCATTTTAGTCCTCTTTTCATTTCTATATTCTGTACAACAACTGCAACAGATGTGAAGCATAGTAAATTTTTACTGAAACTTTAATGGCTTCTGTGATTCAGTACTAACAAAGTAAGTATAAGATATTCTCAATTGTAGGATAGTAGTTAATTTTTCATTAAGTGTCTGTTAATTGACTTGAATATTATAAAATAACATTTAACTTTTAACTTTTTATTGTTCAAAAACTTACTTGTGGAGTGCATGTAATTGTCTTTTAGATTCAAGAAAATGGCAAAGGGGCTAAATATAAACCAATTTATATAGCACAATGAAAATTATTTCACTGTGTTAATTTTTTCTTAATTCCCATAAATATTAGTATTTTTGTAGTATATAACATCAATTTGCTTAGTTCTCTTTCTCTCCTAACGAATGGCTCAACTAGCCGGACACCGGCGGCTCGTGCCTGTAATTCTAGATACTCATGAGGCTGAAATTTGAGGATCACAGTTCAAAGCCAGCCAGGGCAGGAAAGTCCGTGAGACTCTTATCTCCAATAAACCATTAGAAAAGCGAAAAGTGGAAGCACCCAAGCCAAGAGTTCAAGCTCCATCACCAAAAAAAAAAAAGAAAGAAAGAAAAAAGAATGGCTCAACGGAAAAAAAAAAAAATTGAGTAATGTTTTTAACTTTGTATTTAGAGAAATGGTTATAATATTTCTGTTTTATTGTTTTTACTTTACAAATAAATTTTCATTTACTTTTCTTTGCAGTGCAAATTCATAAAATTTGTGATGAAAGATGTAGCTGTTCTTGTGTTTTATTCACAAAAATAAGTGATTATTTCAGGAGTGTATTTGATTTGCCACTAAGATATTACGGGACAGAATTCTAATTAAAATGTGATGCTTAAATATAGCAAATGATATAATTCCACCTAAATATTGAAGCTACTCAAATATTTAATTCAGTTGCATAATGACACTTTAAAATTTTTGTTCCACTATCAGGAATGACAAACAGAAGTCCAGAAGACTTATGTGTGAACTACAATACCTAAATTGCTTTTATTGACAGGGTCACAAGACTTTTTGCATAGCTGACCTTGAACCATTACCTTCCTTTCTTGCCTAGCAGGGATAGGATTACAGGTATGAACCAACATGCTGAGTTTTCATAATGCTTCTCTTGATTCCATTTCATGAGTCCATAACTTATTTAGCTTCTATTTTTTTAATTAAGATTTTTATTGTGAAAATACTGTATTGAAGGGTTAGTTAAATGAGTAAGGTAATGAGTACATTGCTTATCCAGCATTATTGCCTCCTCCTTTGTTTTCCCCCTACCATCCCTTCCTCCCACCTCCTCAGCTACACCCACCACAAGCCCTCCCTTCCCTTGGCCCTGCCACCCACCACGTGGGCCTGAATTGAAAAGTTCGTTTTTCGACACAGCATCTTGTACATTTCATTGTCGCAATAGGTCCACCTGTATTCCTATTTAAACAATTTGTTTTTTGCCTTCCCCTTCCCAAATTATACCAACATCAAATGCAGTGTAACCAGGGGTCATACTGTGGGGGAGGGACATACAAAGCAACAAAAAAAGAAAATCACATGATACCTTATAAATAGGTTAGAAACAATAGCAAGAATGAAAAAAATCATTTGCGTCCCTATCTTAGGGTTCATTTCGCTTAACATCACCTTATCTGACATTTTCTGCTTGTCTCAGACATATATTTGTTATTGCAACTAAGGGAAAGCATGGGACCTATGTTTCTTTGGGCCTGGCTTACTTCACATAATATAATTTTTTTCCAAGCCTTTCCATTTCCTAACAAATGGGTCAATGTCATTCTTTCTGATGGAGGCATAGAATTCCATTGTGTATATATATACCACATTTTCTTGATCCATTCATCTACTGAGGGGCATCTGGGTTGGTTCCATATCTTAGCTATGGCAAATAATGTTGTAATAAACATAGTTGTGCTTTAGTAAGGTCTTGTTTGTGATCATTTGGGTAAATGCCCAAAAGTGGGATTGCTGGGTCATAGGGGAGCTCTATGTGGAGTCTTTTGAGGAACCTCCATACTACTTTCCAAAGTGGTTGAACAAGTTGACACTCCCACCAACAATGCAGTAGGGTTGCCTCCAGGCCACATCACCTCCAGGTTTGTTGTTATTAGATTTCTTGATGATAGCCATTGTAACTGGGGTGAGGTGGAATCTCAATGTTGTTTTGATTTTTAGCTTCTGTTTTCTAAGAAGTGACATCCTTTAGACTGGATATTCTTTCTTTTTTTTTTTTTTTGGGTCCGGTCGTGAGGCCTGAACTCTGGGCCTGGGCGCTGTCCCTCATCTCTTCAGCTCAAGGCTAGCACTCTACCCCTTGAGCCACAGCGCCACTTCCAGCTTTTTTCTTTTTGCTTATGTGGTGCTGAGGAATCGAACCCAGGGCCTCATGCATGCAATGCGAGCGCTCTACCACTGAGCCACCTTCTTTAATCACTCAAGTTCCCAAAATAGCTTCCTAACATATAAACTCTCTTCAATCTTCTAATATTTGAAAGATATTCAGATATACACACTGGCCAAAAACAATCTTAAGTCACATTTTCTGTGGTTTCTTTCATATAAAGGGAAAGTATACATTTACAAAGGAATAAAATTCATGATTTTGAAAGGTATTGTTTTTATACTAATACAAGTATAAAGAATTAAAACAATATTATCATCTATGATTATTTCTATCTCGATATCATCTTAAAATAAGAAAATAGAGCTATTTGTTCTTTTAAAACAGGAAAATTAATCAATAGTCATGGAGATTATTTTTACTAGCTGAATAATATCTAATGTTTATTTTTATAAATGATACAGAGATTTATATTCCACAGATTAGTTACAATAACATTTACCAAAGCCAAACATGATGTTTAAATATAGTTATTTACAGATGGTATAACACATACTATGTTATATATTTCTATGAAATACAGAAATATGTTTACCTTCTAGTATAATCTTATTTTGATAATAAAATATGAAGTAGAATTTGTGATAGAAATGTAATCAATGGGGTACATGATCTGAATACAAATAAGCCCAACAGAGGCCTGACATCTAGGAAATTCTATGCTTTTTCTCTTCTTATTTCCAATTGTTTTGCTACCTCTTAAAGCACAAATATAGGACCTAATTAGTGGTGAGAAGAAAGGTCTTCTGTTCTCCATGACTCCAAAGCTTCTTTGACCTGGAACTGCTCCATGTGAGGAGAAAAGCCCAGTTACTTAGGAGTAAGTCCAACTGTGGATTTCTGACACTTCTTAACCCAGCTTACAGTTGACTTCAAAGTTCTGGGAAGATACATATGTTTTTATTTCTGAGCCAGGATTAGTCACCAAAGAACAAATGTTCATCTTTTCCCATTGTAAGAAATGGCACAACTCTATATTATTGAGATAAATAAAGGTACTAATTGTTACAGAAGATGTCATCTGAATATATAGATATGTTTGGGCTACGTTATTTACATCTAGAAACAACAAAATACGACATATTTGGCCAAAATAATTTATATTTTTGCAAAAGCTAATATTTAGCTTTGTAATCTCATAAAATATTGATAATACTACTTTATTTCCTCTTGATTAAAAATAAATTTTCTTCTGATCATAAAGATAATTGTATCAAATGGAAATTATTACAGATTATACTGGAGAATGTAGTATTTTAGCATAAATGTTTTATTTTTATACATATCATATATTTTACTTTAAAATATGTAATATTTTTTAACATAACCTGTTGCATCTTAGAAACAGATGAACAGATTTATCATGCAAATTACTTTTTCCTATAACCAAATAGCAACATCTGAATTTACATCTTGGAATTCATTGTAGGTAAATGAACGTGATCGTCTCCTAAGATTTGTTGGTCTCGGGGGTCTTCCTTCTACCAAGTCTAAATAGATGTCAGATTTCAGAAAGCGTGTATAACTGTCTTGCTCCATGAGCTGATATACTCTGCTTTGGGCAGTATTAAAACAGTGAAGGGCTGGTTGGGTGATACTCTTGGCAATAACTTCTTTAGTGTGAAAATCAAGGTTAACCTGGAAAAACAAAACAAAAAACAAAAACAAAGTGTATCACTGTCAATATATTTAAACAAAACAGCTTTTAGAAACAATGTAGGATCCTACAAAGTTGGAATGGGTATATGGCATGCTTGGATAGGTGAATGTCATTCCTCATAAGGATCTCTCCATCCAGTTATTTATTCTTGTTCAGTGCTGCCTCTGCCTCTTCTACCTCTTACATTTCTGTTTCTTTCTAATTTAGAACAATGCAATCTTGGGTTATAAGTATAAAGTAGACCATTCTGTTTTACTCATTAATTTTAAAATTTATAGAGGGACCTCATAAAGTATTTGGTGCCAAGAGCCAGTTTTCCATGCCTATAATCCTACCTCCTCAGGAAACATTGATCTGAGGATTGTGGTTTGGAGCCAACCTTGATATACAACTAACCATCAAGCCTGAGAAGTGGAGCTCTGGCTCCAGATTTAGAGTACTAGATTTGATCACAAAAGCTCAGAAACAGCATCCCTTTTTGGAGTTTAAATCCCAGGACCAGTATGAGAAAGAAAACAAAGAAGAAAGAAAAGAAAGAAAGAAAGAAAGAAAGAAAGAAAGAAAGAAAGAAAGAAAGAAAGAAAGAAAGAAAGAAAGAAAGAAAGAAAGAAAGAAAGAAAGGAAGAAAGGAAGGAAGAAAGAAAGGAAGGAAGAAAGGAAGGAAGGAAGGAAGGAAGGAAGAAAGAAAGAAAGAAAGAAAGAAAGAAAGAAAGAAAGAAAGAAAGAAAGAAAGAAAGAAAGAGGAAGGAAGGAAGGAAGGCAGGAAGGCAGGAAGGAAGGCAGGAAGGAAGGCAGGAAAAGAGAGAGAAGGAAAGAAGGAAGGAAGTCAGGAAGGCAGGCAGGCAGGCAGGCAGGCAGGAAGGAAGGAAGGAAGGAAGGAAGGAAGGAAGGAAGGAAGGAAGGAAGGAAGGAAGGAAGGAAGGAAGGAAGGAAGGGAGAAAATTGAGTGATTGGAAACAATGAGCTTGGTTAATCTTGAAAACATGACTATGAGGTCTCTTTTTACACCAAAGTTCAGTTTTGGTAGGCTTTGATAAAAGAAAATATGCTATGATTTGCCTAAGGATAAAAAATTCCCTATTAATTTTCTTATAGGAATCCTGATTTATCTAGTTATGATGGTGGTAAGATTTTAGATCTGGGCCCTCTGCTTTCCCCTATTGGGTAACATGGCAAAATTGCCTTCCTTTCTTCTGATCTATATATCTACCCATCGATTAGATAGATAGATAGATAGATAGATAGATAGATAGATAGATAGATAGATAGATAGATAGATAGATAGATAGATAGATAGATAGATAGATAGATAGATAGATAGATAGATAGAATGAAGGAATGTGGACCTAATGGAAGGAAGTTAGGAGACTGGGTTGTAAGCTTGAGGAGATCCTGGGATTCTAGAGCCCATTTATGTACCCTCAATGCTTTTGTTTCCCAGATATCATGGGTGACAGGATTTCTGCACACACATCTTCACTATAGTCTTAACCTTTCCATAGACCAATCAACTATGGACTTCAGTCTCTGAAAACATAAGACAAAGTAAAGATTTCTTCCAATAGTTTGATTTATCTCAGATATCTGACACAATGGCAGAAATGCTCATACAGACAATATTAACTAATAATGAAAAAGTAAAATTAAAATGACAAAAACATCAGTTCCACCATTTAAATTAAGAATTGCTTTCAGATATATGAACAGAAACATAGACACTTTTTAATATTTAATGATACTCAAATATTATTTTCTAGACCTCTAACCATTTGAGAAATTACAACATTGTACTTTTTTATATTTTCTTTACAATGTGGGAAAACCTACATTTTTCCAGTTAATTAAAAGCCAGATTATATTTTTATCAACTATTTTGAAATTTCTTTTCATATCTTAATGCCAAGAAATAGCTTTGGGGGCAGCAAAGCTACAAAGAAGGATGCTGATGCATGGGAATTACTTTTTTTTCTTTCCTTCTTGCCTTCATCATTTACAGAAATCTGTAGTTTCTTTGAGAAATTGTTTTGTTGCGGTGATTAATATGAATAAGAAGCCAAAATGTTGTTTTAATAATATTGACTCATTCTACATGAATGTAACTCTAAGGAGTGATCCTAGATAGGCCTTTTTTCTCATCGTAATATCTTACACTAGTCTTTGCTCATATATAAATTTCAATATGAATAACCAATTTTGCTTTAACAACACATCAAACTCTCTGGCAAAAGGTATGGCAGCACCACTCTGAGGAAAGCAAATTCTCACAAAGCTATTTTTACAAGGACGATACACATTTCTAGTTGTGTTTACTATACCTCTTGTGGAGCATCGCTCTGTATGAATTTCTCATATATTGCTTTGGCTTTGAGTATAATTTGTTGGGGATCCTCACTTTTCTTGAAATCTTCACAGGCAATCCAAAATTCAATGTTTTCCTCACTGAATTCGGTTTTAAGAAATCGGGTGAAAGCATCCAGTCCATCTACCAAATAAAATAATGTAACTAAAAATATCAAACAAAATACATGGTAGGAAAGTATGAGTATACATATTAACCAAAAATATGTCTTTCCTGTAATGCAATATTGTGGTACATATATCCCACTACTGTAGGAGAGCTGAATACGTTAGCTGTAGTTTTCATAACCATGAAAAATAAACATGGTTGTTAGTGAAATAAGGTTAATGTCATACTTGGACCTAAATAACTCACTGTAAATGGGACCCTTATTTGTCAACTTCAGTTGGTATCTTTCATATTCATGCCCCTTTCTCAGAATGGGGCTTCATTCCACAAAGCATAAAGTTTTGTAACTGACAGCCCACAAGTTCCATTTCCATGTCATTCTTCTAATTCTCAAGATGCTGGATTTTCCTGTACAAAACTGCTGTGTTTTCCGAGTGTTAACAGCCCTCTTTCCCCAAACCCACACATTAAAATCATATTGACTCATCGCTGTACATAATCTTAGTCCTGTTTCAGCCACTACAAGTTAGCTATTACACAATGGACTCTTGGGAGTCACATTTGAATTTCTCTCTTGGAAGCATCTGATAACACTGACTTGTCCTCTTTGAAATACTTATCCTTATAGGATTCTAGGATGCAATACTTTTGATTTCACACTGTTGGATCACTTTTGTGGATATTTGTGGATGATGGTTTTCCTTGTTCTGTTCTCCAGGAAATAGATTTATTTCAGCCTGCTCTGTCTCTCCTCCTCTGTCTTCCCAGTCTCTCCTCTTCATCTTGTTTTCTTTTCAACATTTTTTTATTTTTATTTTTTTCTGGAGCTCCTTTACCCCATACCCTGTACTTTTATGCACATTGTGGGCACCTGCATTCAAAATGAAGTACTAACTTTGGCAAATGATGTTTTCCTGAGTTATATTTTGATAGCATTAAAAGATTTATAGTGGGTGCCAGGGGCTCACACCTGTAATCCTTACTACTAACAATGCTTTTAGGAAAAACACAGTTTCATGCCATCCCTGCAGAAAAGTCCTTCTGACTCTATCTTTAAGGAGGGAAGTTGGCATACAGGTTATGTGTTGATCTAGAAATGGCAGTAATTCCTAGAGTAGGCTGATCATGTTTCATTAATAGTGTACCAACCTAACAAACTAAAGGCTCTGACTTCAAATCCCATACTACCAATAAAAGGACAAAAATGATTTACATCTCTTTATAGGAAATTATAAAAAGAAAACTTTCTTGCCATGAAATATTTTCCAGCTAATGAAATATCTTTACTATTTACTTATAGTCTTTGTTTAAATTGTCTCCATTTGATGTCTTAATCCCTTCTTACCTCAGTTACTTCCCAACACACTATAACAGGGCTTGTATTGAAACAATCTCCTTAAATTACTTTACCAGATCAATTTATCATTCTAGTCCGTGAACTTTTTCTCATTCCACATACTGTTTCTCTCTATACAGACCCCCATGGCCCCTGCACTCGTTAGTTTCCTCTTACATTTTGGTCTCCTCTTTCTCTGACACCTTCTCTGCTAATTTCTGTCCAACCTTCCCTTAAATTTCTATTCTAGTAAAATCACCCCATTACTCCAAAATAGTCTTCTGGGCATTTTCAGAATTCACCTCTTATCTCTTTCCAGAACCATTAGCTTATTTAGGGGGAAATAAAAGCAGGTTAAATATCTCCTCCACTGAATTTCCTAAAAGATGTACCATAGCACAGCTTTTGGGACTTACTCCAAAACTCTTACCTCATACATAGTGTATAATGAAATTTTATTGTGTGTCCCCTTTGTTGTTTCTTTTGTACGTTTGTCTTTTTCTTTTATGAAGTATGTTACCACTTGATTCAGAGCAGAATTATATACTATTGTAAGAACATCCCTGTCCATGATAGCATTTCCAAGTGTTCCTTGCTTCCTTCCAGCTTCTTGGTTCATTATACCCACTGTAATATTCTTAACATGCTTCCAATTTAGATTTTAATTAGAGGTCATGTAGTTTGGAAAATCACAAATCCTTCTAAAATGATCTGAATATCATTTCTATACAGTTTCCTATTACTGTGACAATATTTAAAATATCATGCTGAGATTTCATATAATTTCCTTTGCTACATTGAGAAGGTCATGAGACAGGATACATTTTTTTAATTTGTCACCAAGTCTCCAATCTCCAGTATAAAGAAATGATTAAATTATTTTTTAATGTAAAATGTTATTTTAACAAAAGTTTTTAATTTTACTAATAAACAAATTTAATTTAAAAAGTAAAAATACACAAAACCCTTCCAGAAAATAATTTCGATGAAATATCAGATCTATGATATTTATCAGAGAAAAAGACAATTACCAGAAAAAATTCACCAGGGTCAAGAGATAGTCCATAAAATGAAAAAAAATGCTCTATAGTTATTAAATAATTCATTTCCCAAATAAAAAAGTGGTAACAATGTAAATAACAATCCAATTAATAAATGGACAAAGTATTTAGATAATTCTCTAAAGAACGAAGTGCTAATAAATACGTAAAGAATCTTTTGTATTTATGAAACTAAGATCATTGTTTTATTTCCTCATCTCTGGTTTGAATTTTACTTCTTTCATTTTTTCCATGTTTTGCAATGATACTTGGCAAGAAGTGGAACTTGGTATGTGACATATCTTATCTGTAGAAGCAAAACCACAATTAAAATAATAATACATAAATCAACCGCTTGAACTGAATTTTCTGCACCCAACTTCAGCTCCAACCAGAATGCTCAAGGCTACGGCTCTATCACTTGAGCCACAGTGCCACTTCCTGTTTTCTGGTGGTCTATTGGAGATAGGAGTCTCATAGACTTTCTTGCCCAGGCTGGCTTTGACCCACTATCCTCAGATCTCAACCTCCTGAGTAGCTAGGATTACAGACCTGAGCCACTGGCGACCATCTCCAACCAGAACTTTTAAAACCTCTTATTTTTATTGATAAAATAATTTATTACTGGATGAGCCTGAGCAGATAAATTACAGTCTGCTAGAGAAGAAAGCAACGTTATTCGAAAACCCTAGCAAACATAAAAGTGTAAGCAATTTAACAAGCATAGTAACAGGAAAGTACGGAGTCTCACTTGATACTCAAAGAAAAAAGGGATGTCAGGCGTGTAGCTCCAAACAGAATTTTCTGCTGTTGCTCTCAGTGAGTAAAACCAACATAGTCTTCCTGGTTCAGCAGCTGGCAGAGACCATTAGAATGGCAGCCATGTACAAGGCAATGTCTGTCTTAGTTAAAACCTCTTTTTGTGCATGTCTTGAGAAGAACTTTTACTGTGATGCAAAGTGTCTGCCTAACACCCATACTTCTTTTACTCTTAAATTTCTAATATTTTTTGTGTTTCCTCATATTAATATCCATTTCATTGGATTATGGTCCTAAACATTTCTTTCCATTTGTCTTTATAGTAATTTTTAGAACTGATAAGTTGTTCGTATTTTCTAGAAGAATTCTCAATTATTTAAAAATTTCCTGTTGCAGTCACTGTCCTGCTATAATTCAACTGGTAGTTTCAGTCAATTAGATTTCTTCAATTTCATGGTTGGTTATTAGAAAACAATTGAACCCAAGGCCACAAAAGATTATGAGAAGTTTCAGTTAACCTAATTATAAAACAACATTATGTACATTTAGTTAATATACCTCTAAATCTGGTTTTGGCTTTCGACAAATTACTATCTTTAGTTTTTATTAAACAGAATTTTTATTACTAAACCATGTATATGTAAATTATACTTTCTTTGGATTTACTTTTCAACTTATGAAACATTTTCTCCAAGGTTTATTCCTATTACATTCAAAAAAGTATATGAGGAACATAAGCTGTTGATAAACTTGAATGAGTAAAAAGTAACTGCATATCTCAATTTATTTATTTAAATAAATATTTTCATTTGGAACAGGTGTAAGTTTAAGGATTATTATGATAAATAAGTGTACTAGTTCCATTTATTTACTCTTAATTTGTCCTTGTATTGAAGATGGTACTTTTATACTTTATAACTAATAGATATATTGAAATGTATGTATTTAGTGCATTCAGATTTTCTTGGACTTTTTTACCTTTATATGAATTTTATTTTAAAAAGAGTGATTCTATATGAATAAAATTTGAATAAAGTGCAATTAGCAAAATAACTTATTTAGTTATTTTGATTTATTTGGAACTCAGCACCAGTGATTTTTCATTTTTTTTGTATCATGTCTGTCATCTTACACCTCTATCTCTTTTCTAAATTATATTTCTTAATAAGATCTTATTTTGTTTTCAATTTCCTAAATAAATTTCACAGTTTAATTCTTCATGCCTTATTTGCTCCCTGTTTAGATGGTCTTTTTCTCTTTTGGTTCAGTAAGTGAATTTTGATTAATCACTTGAAACCTAGAATGCAATCCATCTCTGCTATGGTTCCATTCCCATTGCTGTTACCAATCAGTAGTTTTAATATTTGCTGTTCTGATCAATGTTACTTCTAAATTTCCATTGTATTTTATTTTATTTATCACTTAATTTATCATTTGGGTACATTTAATTCAATTTTCATTTCCTCTACAAAAGCATAGAATGCAGAATCTGACAAAGTTACACTTTTGTCCCACAGGAAATTTTATAATATTTGATAGAGCTTTGTGTTCCATAAAGTATGTGAATATAGCATCTTTTTCTTTTAAAGATATGAGTGTGTGTTTTCATTGATTTTTCTTCTTTCTTTTCCCTAGAGTCAAGTAACTAGAAATGAATAAACTTTTACCATTTTAATCAATATAATATTTTAGTTTAATGTAGTATTTTAGATAATTTTAATATGTAGGTTCTTGGTATTATTAATCTTACTATAATATTTTATTATATAATAATTGTAATAACTATTGTATTATAAATAAAATAATACTAATATTCATTATTATTACAATCATTAATTAAATTAATTAATATTTATTATATTTATATATTAATATATTACCAATGAATTAATATCAATGTATTTATATATAAATGATACATATTATTTATATATAATAATATATGACATGACATATTATATATAACATATATATTATATAATAGCATAATATGATATGTATAATATAATGCATAATATATTATATATTTATAATAATATTAATATATTATGTATTTTAATTATATAATATTAAATCATGAATTGTATTATATTATTATATTAAATTTTTATTTATTATTATTAAATTGCTGATCCTGGGGTTTAAATTCAGAGCATAGTAGATTTCCCTGAACATTTTGCTCAGAGTTAGTGTTCTAACTCTGAGCAATGTACTAATGAATACTAAAATAATACTAGTAGCATCATTTGTTTTTTTGTTTTGTTTTTCGGGTTTTTTTTTTGTACATTGTACTATTTGTACTATTGCGGGGAGGGACGGGAGAACAATGAAGGAGGGGGTAAAAAGTTTGACAAGAAATGGACAACTCCATTTCTAGATTTTTTGGTGGTTAATTTGAAATAAACGTTTCATGGACTATCCTGCCTTTGATGGCTTTGAACTGAAGTCCTCAGATCTCAGTATCCTGAATAGCTCAAGCTACACATGTGAGCTACAGTGCTCAGCTTTAATATTTAGAATTATTTTAAGCATTTTGGTTTAATACTATCATCAGAATTTCAATAAAAATAACTGATTCCACAAAATAATACTAGTAGCATAATTTGTTTTTTTTGTTTTTTTTTTTGGGTCCGGTCATGGGGCCTGAACTCTGGGCCTGGGCGCTGTCCCTCAGCTCTTCAGTTCAAGGCTAGCGCTCTACCACTTGAGCCATAGTGCCACTTCTGGCTTTTTTCTTTTTTTGCTTATGTGGTGCTGAGGAATGGAACCCAGGGCCTCAAGCATGCAAGGCAAGCGCTCTACCACTGAGCCACCTTCCCAGCCCGACTAGTAGCATAATTTGTTAACCAACATTTTCCATTTAGGACTTTAATCACGATACATTATGGATGTCTCATTGTAACAGTATTTTTTTAATGCACATTGCCTATGTTTATTTATATTTTTAATCATTTGCATGTAATTAATATTTTCACTAATAGTGAAAAGAGAGAATGTCAGATTTAGTTTTATCAATATGATTTTGGCTAATTACAATTGTAAAGAAGGATATTTACAGAATGCCAGGTGAAGTTATTTTGTAGGAATTATTACCTTGCTAAATCTTTCTTCACTTTGGATGAGAGTATGATAGAATCATTATATGACAATTTATTAAATTAGAGTAATAAATCCAGGTTATATATTTCTTTCAATTTTAATCCTTACCATCTAACTTATGGTTATACAGTTTATAGCATATTTGAAGCAGAAAAATGATTTTTAAATTTAGTAATTGTTATTTTTCATTACAGTAGTAACCATTGACCTTTGTGTAGTGTCTAACGTTTATTGGTTTCTTATTCATCATGTAATTTAATCCTGACACATCCATTTCTGTTAGAACTAAAAGCCATTATCTCAATTTACGTTGGAGGAAGTTGAAAGTCAGAGTGATCAGGACACATAACTAACGCTGATCAATCGTTTATGCTGCAGGGGAAAAGAGATCTCAAATCTCAGAGGAACTCAGGAAGAACATTTTCTTAGAAACAAATTTACATTTGTTATGTGAGCACATAATATTTTAGAAGCTACATTAAATTTCCACCAATAGACAAAGGACAAGGGAGACCAAAGCATCAGTGATACTCACAAGGTACTATGTTGAAAATGATCTGTACTATTGGGGAGAAGGAAGGGAGAACAATGAAGGAGGGGGTAACAAGTTTGACAAGAAATATACTCACTACCTTACTGATGTAACTGTAACCCCTCTGTACACCACCATTACAATAAAATTTTTAAAAAAGAAAAGAAAAATATCTCATTTTTCCAGTAAATCACTCTTATCTGTTTCCTTTTTCTCATTAACAAAAAATATTGAGTAGTGCTGTATGTTAATGTTGGATAAGAGAAGATAAAGGCTTAGAAATATGGCTTATGTACAAGAGTATCTATGTAGCAAACCAAACCACAGTACCACCAAAACACAGAAAATTTTCAAAAATATATAAATTGTATTATGGAGAAAAATATCATGTTTAGTCACTTAATAACTTACAAAGTCTGATAAAACTAGTCATAGCAAGAGAGTGAGGGTGATAATATTCTTCCTATTCTCAATACCAAGAAATCAAAAAAATCTATTAGATAAAAGGATAAGGGAATGTGATGTGTGTATGTCTATTGTATTTACAAAGTAGGCAACTATCTATGCAGCCATATAGTAGAAAATAATTATGTCATTTATGGAACAGTCAAAAGACAAATATTTTTTGATCTCTCTCATATATAAGAAGGAATAATTTATTTCATGTAAGTAGAGAACAGAACAATGGTTGCCAGAGGTTGGAAAATGTAGGGGAAGGGGTCAGAAAAGATAGACAAAGATTAATGGTTATTTAAGAAAATACAATTACATAGAAGTATATTCTACTGTTCTATAGGTCAATAGAGTGATTATAATGAACCACAATTAAACATAATTTGATGTATAGCTTAAATTGCTAGAAGGTTTCCATCTTAAAACAAAAATGAATAATTCTAACTATGCTGAGCTATACTTTATATACCAACATCAAAACATGACAAAACACCATACAAATATATAGAATTATTTCTCAACAAAATAGCTCAAGGGAAGGTCAATATGTTGGTTGACATTTATTTTTTTAATAATTGACATATATGTTGGACATGATTTGAAATTTGAATTGACATAATTCAGCAGTTATAGGTTATCAAGAATGAAGAAAATGAGCAATTGGGGGAAATTCCCTGTCATTCTCACCAAGAATAAGGAATGACAGTAATGTTACAGTGTAACTAAGGTAAAATAGGTTGTGAGAATTTTTTCAACACTGACTTCTTTAACCATAACACTCTCCATCCTCATCCACTAGATCTTTGCCTAAATTTAAGCTTTTATTTCTCTACCTATATTTTATTTTTCTAAGTTTATTTAAAAGATGGGAATTTTTCATAGGTAGCAGGAAGATACATTGAGTCCATACATCAGTAAATTCAGGACCCATAACCATTGCACCAAGACTTTAGAGAAAGTTCAACAATTAAAGAGAAAATGAGAGCAGACAACGTAAGTAGGGGTTTCATTAAAGACAGCAGAGTAGTTAAAGTTCTTTGGTGACAGGAAACAAATACCTTAAGATGAAACTCTTTGCGCTTTGTTATAAACAGAAATAAAAGTAATTGGTTTCCCTTATCTTGTAGTAGTGTAGGGAAAAGCTGGGAAATGATGGTATTTCAAAGAAGGAGGCAAGAAATTGGGAAAAAAATGTGTGCAAGGAAGTTATGAGTTTGAGGAAGTATAAATATTCAGTAATGATAATATATGGCTTTTTTAGCTGGTCGCTTCACTAAAGAAAAAGAAAATAAAGCCTGTAGCATTCTATCACTTATTCAGTACAAATTTAAATGATACGCTGAGCCAAAATAAAATTTTCTTTCTGACAATAGGTAAATTAACTAAATTAAGATTATCAATCCAGCTGGGCACTGGTGGCTCACGCCCGTAATCCTAGCTACTCAGGAGGCTGAGATCATGGTTCAAAGCCAGCCCAGGCAGAAAAGTCCGTGAGACTCTTATCTCCAATAAACCAATAGAAAACTGTAAATGGTTCTCTGACTCAAGCAGTAGAGCACTCTCCTTGATCTGAAGAGCGCAGGGACAGCGCCCAAGCCCAGAGTTCAAGCCCCATGACCAACCAAAAAAAAAAAAAAAAAAGAAAGGGAAAAGATGATCAATCCAGCTAACCTGTGTTTTAATTTAGTGTTGAAAAATTCAACCAGATTTCAATTTTACCTCCACCTAGTACACAAAACTGTACCTTAAAAGGCCTGATTATCAAGTACCTTTTCTATAAAATTCTGCTTTATAATTAAAACATTGATAGGATGTCTTCATTAATGTTTCTTGAATTTCCACAAAAAAACTATTTTAATTTCTTTATTATTTAACAGTGAAAATAACACAGATCATTTGTTAATCACAGATTTAATGAGACTGAAACTCTCCCTCAAAAGTAAGGAAAATTGAAGTTAACAACCACAGAGAGAAATAATTTACATTTTCAATAATAGGCATTTTTTAAATAAAATAAAATTTAAGAAGTATTTTCCCTTAGCTGACTATGCTGTTCTTTAGTTTACCCTGGCTGACCTGAAATTCAGTTACTCAACACCTAACATTTTCTGACAGCTTGTTTTGCATAATTGCATGCATACATTGCTTAATTTTCCATTGAAGAATAAAGTATTTGGTGAAAATATCACTAACCTCGATGGGAAAGCAGTTTGTCAAATGATTCACTCCATTTCACTGCTTCTTCAGGAGAGACTCTGCAAGACACAAAATGCAGCAAGTCTGTTTGTGAATCTGTTTGAACATATGCTGTCTGATTGCTCTTTATACTAAACTTCCCAGAATTCCCAGCATTTCTCCTTTATTTTTTTTTCCTTTCTTTTTTTCTTTCTTTCTTGCTTTTTTTTTTTTTATGATGGTCCTGGGGCTAAATGAGGAACTTGGACACTGTCTCTGAGGATCTTTTTTTTCTTTTTTCCTGCTCAAGGATAACACTGTAACACTTGAGCTACACTTTCAACTTTTTAGTGGTATTCAGAGATCAGAATCTCACATTTTCCCAGATGGCTTCCAACTATAATCCTCAGGTTTCACCTTGGAGTAGCTAGGATTACAGACTTGAGCCACCAGCACCCAGCTCCCCACCCCCTCTCTCCTTTTCTTTCTCTCTCTCTCTCTTAGTTTTTTCTTGTTTAATCATTTTAAACTTAGTGAAATATTAGCTATACAATGGCAAGAATGTATCTTTCTTAACTATAAAGTGTTTTCTATCAAATTTATATATTTTTTTCTTTCTCTGTTGATTTGTCTGTTGTGACAGTTTTATTTGCATTACAATCTTCAATTTTAAAAACTGTAGTCAATTTGTTTTAGATTTTTATTGTTAAAATAATAACAGTATGTTAAAATACCATTGTTTGGGGTTGGGAATTGTTTTATTTTTAAAAATCGAATTATGTATTAAGTTTAAAACAAGACAGATATGTAAATGGAAATCAGGTCAACTATCTACTTAATTAAGTGCATGAAACAAAATTAATTTTACAAATAAATTAATTCAATTCAATTTAATTCATAAGTAGTTGAATTTTTTAGTCAAACTTCTCTTTTGTAAAATTCAGTTTTCTTGAAGCTGCACTTTATTTTACACACAAACAGGAAGCATGACTAATTTATCAAGGAAATAAGAAATATATCACATTTTCATACAACAAGCATGTTAAAGGTATTGGTAGTATAGAAAGTGAAATATTTTTTTAATTGGTATTTTTTTAATTCGGAAGAATTTGTGTTCAAATAATATATAAAATGATTCTACTTCTTTTGCAATGAAAAATGATAAAAACTCTAAAGCATCCCTTATTTGTTAAATTGCTATCAGTTTATTTCATTTTTTTCAAAAGGAACTTCTCAGAAAATAAGCGATTACCTTTTTAGTGGAGGATTGCAGTGCACAAACAAATTATTGATATTTCCTCATTTTGTTGGATGTTAAATATTGGTAGGTATCAGTTATAAAAGATTATTCTTAAATGTTCATATAATTATTTCATTACAACTACTAATTTGATTTAATTTTAGAAATATGTCCAGTTCCTTGAAGTGGAATTCTGCCATTTTGTAGTGTGCTGTATAATTTTCATTGTATTATATTGTATCATAATTATAGAATCAGTACAATCTCCCCCTCAGTAATGACAATATTTTACCTTGTTTCTCTTGCCCAGAACCCAAATCTACTTGAGTGGATTGTTTCATGTAAGTCAGGTTTTTGTAGGAGAAGACTTAGCCGATTTCTTCTTTCTTTAGCTCTGTAATAATCATCATAATAAAAACAGCTGTTATATTTAGGACAATTTATGTAAATAACAAAATTTCTTCATTGGCCACTGAGATGCCTTCATTATTGGTAAAACTCTCATCTACCAATTCACAAATATAGTTCAGTACACAGATGAATCCCATGTATTGTGTTTTCATAAAACTACAGTAGCATGAGTTAAATATGTTTCTCTTTTACTTCAATGACAGGCAAGGACAGATAATTATTTGAGATATTATTTCAGAAAAAAAGAACTTATTCTGCTATTATTTTGTGGCTAAAATGGCTATTCTTTCTTTAATGAAAACTACTTTAGATTTAATAGTGATTTCCTCCAAATAAAGGAGAAAAAGCTGCCCATCACCCACCCAAGGCACAGTGGTGCAATCAGCATATTTTCCAACAGACATTTTTAAAGTAAGTGCTAACAAATATGCATCCATCATGGCTTTGAAAGTAACAAACTGGCTGAAATTTTTATACTTTTACCTTGTTTTGGCTTCTTTGCTGGTTTCTTCCTTTCCTGAACCATGTATTAACTTGAAAAACGTTTTTTCTTTAGATTCACACATATTTAGTTGAGAAAAGGAAACCAGTGATGCATTCATTTTCTCCCTCTAAAATGAAGAGAGGTCACAGATCAATGCCCGTCCGAAGGTATACATGGTAGAACACAATTCTGTCTCAACTCTTGCAGCAGTTCTTCAAGGAAAAAAAAAGCAAAAAGATCATAAGAAGAAGAAAAGCCAAGAGCTGTGTTTCTACCACTGTAAACATGTAGAAATGAGGAACCTAAGCACAGTTAGATCCTGATCTATTTAGGGAAATGATACCAAGAATCTGCAGAGACTCTTGGTTGCCCAGATAAAGAAGTGTCTTACCGCAATGTAACTTCTCCTTAAAGTTTGTGCAACAAGAATAACATGTTAATAGACTCAAACAACACTGTCATTTCCTACAGGAACCCTGGGTAAGGTCTTTAATATGTATTCAAATGCAATGTGCCAAAGTATTACATGGAACAAAAGAAGATACTGCTCCCTGTTGTTACAATTTCAATTTTATTTATTTTTATTACATTAAGATAATTAAATTATAATTAATTCATATAATGCAATGCACTTCTTAATTACATTTGCTTAATATATTGCATCAAAACAAAACTACACATCAAAGTTTTATGGTTAAAAGAGAGAGCAGAAAACAATTTTTTATTTCCATGATTACTTTGCTTTTTATTTATTTGCTTATTAATTTAGTTTTGTTCTTGACAGTCCTAGTGTTTGTACTTAGGCCCTGTGCTTGCTAAGAAGTGCTATAAAACTTGAACTATACAACCTGTCTGTTTGGCTTCGGGCTTATTGTTTTGTTTTGTTTTTTTGTAGATTTATTCTCATGATTTTACAAAAGACATGATTTTTTTTTTCTTTTTTTTTTTTGTCGGTTGTGGAGCCTGAACTCTGGGCCTGGGAGCTGTCCCCCAGCTCTTCAGCTGTAGACCAGCCTTCTACCACTTGAGCTTCAGCTCCACTTCCGGCTTTTTCTGCTTCTGTGGTGCTGAGTAATCTCACCGAGGGCCTCATGCATGCAAAGCACTGAACCACCACAAAGGCCATGATTATCTACCTATTTCTTATTTGTAGCTGGAATTAGAAACAAATACCACATCCATTTTATTAAAGTGGCAACATTTTGCCTGGAATGGTCTCAAACCATGATCACCCCCGCCCTCCACTTCTGCTTCTCCAGTAGGTGGTATGAAAGTAATAGCTGTAATAGCTACCTAAAATGTTGTTTTTTTAAGTGTACATTAATTGTCCCAAAAGTAAGTACAATTGACTTTGATTAGGACACTATTCATTACTCTTATGCTGAACTTCTTTAAAAAAGTAAATATATATTGACTTATTTAATTTACTATACATCAAGATTATTTTTTTTTTTTTTTTAATTTAATTTAATTTTATTTGAGAACATACTGTACAGAGGGGTTACAATTACATGGGCAGGATAATGCATACATTTCTTACCAAGCATTGCAGCCTCCTCCTTTGTTTACCCTTCACCTCCCTTCCCAGCCTCCCCCCTCCCTCCCACCGAATCATACCACCCTTACCCCCCCCCCCCCCCCCCCCCCCGACATTGTAAAGCTGGTTTTGACATGACATTTTGTACTTCTCATTGTTGCAACAGGTCCACCTGAATCCTTAAACGACTTGTTTGTCCCCATCTCCTCCACATGTTATACTGACATCAAATATAGTGAAAGCGGGGGTTACACTGTGGGGGAGGGACATACAAAGCAACAAAGAGATAATATTATAAATGCGTTAGAAACACATGCATGAAAGAAACAAAAACATTAAAATACATATTTGAGGTTTCGTTTTCCTAACATCACATTATTTGACTTTTTCCGCTTGACTCATACCTATACTAGATATTGCAAATAAGGGAAACCATGGGACCTATGTTTCTTTGGGCCTGGCTTACTTCACTTAATATAATTTTTTCCAAGCCTTTCCATTTCCTAACAAATGGGGAAATGTCATTCTTTCTGATGGAGGCATAGAATTCCATTGTGTATATATACCACATCTTCTTGATCCATTTATCTACTGAGGGGCATCTGGGTTGGTTCCATGTCTTAGCTATGGTAAATAATGCTGCAATAAACATAGTTGTGCTGGTAGCTTTAGTGTGGCCTTGTTTGTGATCATTTGGGTAAATGCCCAAAAGTGGGATTGCTGGGTCATTGGGGAGCTCTATGTGGAGTCTTTTGAGGAACCTCCATACTGCTTTCCAAAGTGGTTGAACAAGTTTACATTCCCACCAACAATGAAGTAAGGTTCCTTTCTGTCCACATCCCCTCCAGCATCTGTTGTTGTTAGAGTTCTTGATTTTTGCTGTTCTAACTGGAGTGAGGTGATATCTCAATGTTGTTTTGATTTGCATTTCTTTTATGGCTAGGGATGTTGAACATTTCTTCATGTGTCTATTGGCCATCCTTCTTTCTTCTTCAGAGAAGCTTCTCTTTAAGTCTTTCGCCCACTTACTTATTGGGCAGTTGTTTCTTTGAGGATTTGTTGTTGGGTGGTTTAATTTTTTGAGTTCCAAGTATATTTTAGATATGAGACCCTTGTCCGTTGTATGGCTAGTAAAGATCTTCTCCCAGTCCGTGGGCTTTCTATTGATCTTGCTAGCTATGTCATTTGCCCTGCAGAAGCTCTGCAACCTTATACAATCCCATTTGTCCAGCCTTTCTTTGATTTGTTGTGTTTCCGGGTCTTTATTCAGAAAATTTCGGCCTGAGCCAAGGAGACCCAGGGTTTCTCCTATTCCATCCTGTAATGTTTTCAGAGTGTCTGCTTTGAGTTCAAGGTCTTTGATCCATTTGGAGTTGATTCTGGTGCAGGGTGATATATAAGGATCTAGCTTTAGTTTTCTACATGTAGTTAACCAGTTTTGCCAGCACCATTTACTGAAGAGGCTGTCTGTCTTCCATTCTATTGTTTTAGCTCCCTTATCGAAGATTAGATGGCTATAGGTCTGTAGGTTCATTTCTGGGTTTTCAATTCTATTCCATTGGTCCTGAGGTCTGTTCTTATGCCAATACCAAGCTGTTTTGATTACTATGGCTTTATAGTAGAGTTTGAAATTTGGTACTGATATTCCTCCAGCAGTGTTCTTTCCGCTGAGGAGCGTTTTTGCTATTCGGGGTCTTTTATTGTTCCATATGAATTTTTGGATTGCCTCTTCTATTTCCTTGAAGAATGAGGGTGGAATTTTGATAGGTATTGCGTTGAATTTGTAGATAGCCTTGGGGAGTATTGCCATTTTCACGATGTTAATCTTTCCAATCCAGGAGCATGGGAGGTTTTGCCATTTTTTAAGTTCTGTGTTGATTTCCTTTTTCAAGATTTTAAAGTTTTCATCATAGAGGTCCTTCACTTCTTTAGTTAAGTTAATTCCTAGGTATTTTATTTTTTGTGGGGCTATTACAAATGGAGTTGCTTTCCTAATTTCAGCCACACTTTTCTCATTGTTGGCATACAGAAAAGCCATTGATTTTTGGGGGTTAATTTTATAACCTGCTACTTTGCCAAAGTTTTGAATCAGCTTGAGTAATTTGGGAGTGGAGTCTATGGGATTCTTTAAATACAAGATCATGTCATCTGCAAAGAGGGAGAGTTTTATTTCTTCTTTCCCTATTTGGATCCCCTTTATGTCTGCATCTTGTCTTATTGCTGTAGCTAGGCATTCTAATACTAGATTGAAGAGAAGTGGAGAGAGTGGGCATCCTTGTCTTGTTCCTGAGTTAAGAGGAAATGGCTTTAGTTTTTCACCATTGAGTATAATGCTGGCTGTAGGTTTGTCATATACAGCCTTTATTGTATTGAGGAATGTTCCATGGATTCCTAATTTTTTCAAAACCTTCATCATAAAGGGGTGTTGGATCTTGTCGAATGCTTTTTCTGCGTCTATTGAGATAACCATGTGGTTCTTATTCTTGCTCCTGTTGATGTGATGAATAATATTAATTGATTTGCGTATATTGAACCAGCTTTGCATCCCTGAAATGAATCCTGTTTGATCGTGGTGTATGATTTTTTGGATGAATTGTTGAAGTCGGTTGGCCAAAATTTTGTTGAGAAGTTTTGCATCAATGTTCATCAAAGAAATGGGTCTATAGTTCTCTTTCTTTGATGAGTCCCTGCCAGGTTTTGGGATGAGGGTTATGATGGCTTCATAGAATGTGTTCGGTAGTGAGCTTTCTCTTTCAATTTCATTGAAGAGTTGGAGGAGAATTGGTGTGAGCTCTGCTTTGAAGGCCTTGTAAAATTCCGCTGTAAAACCATCTGGTCCTGGACTTTTCTTAGCTGGGAGGTCTCTTATTGCTGTTTCTATTTCAATGCTTGATATGGGCCTGTTAAGATAGTTTACCTCATCTTGGTTTAGTTTTGGCATGTCAATATTTGCTAGGTAGAGGTCCATTTCTGTCAAGTTCTCAAACTTATTAGCATAAAGTTTTGAGAAGTATTCCCTTATAATATTCTGAATCTTGCTTGTTTCCGTGGTGATGTTTCCATTCTCATCTCTGAGTTTATTAATTTGGGTGTGTTCTCTTCTTTTTCTGATAAGATTTGCTAAGGGTCTGTCAATTTTGTTGAGTTTTTCGAAGAACCAACTCTTTGTTTTGTTGATTCTTTCTATAGTTTTTTTGGATTCTAATTCATTTAATTCTGATTTAATTTTGATTATTTCTTTCCGTCTACTGGATTGGGGTTTATCTTGCTGCTCTTTTTCAAGGAGGTTTAGATGTGTCATTAAATTGTTAGTTTCAGATCTTTCCAATTTGTTGATGTAGGAGCTCAGAGCTATAAACTTGCCTCTGAGTACTGCCTTTGCTGTGTCCCAGAGGAGCTGGTATTTTGTGTGTTCATTTTTGTTGAATAGCATGAACATTTGAATTTCCTTTCTAATCTCTTCCATGACCCACTCATGATTCAGCAGTGTGTTGTTCAGCCTCCATGTGATACCGGACTTTCTTTGGTGGCTTTTGGTGTTGAGTTCTAACTTTATTCCCTTGTGGTCAGAGAGAATGCAAGGTATAACTTCAATGTTTCTGAATTTAGACAAGTTTGCTTTGTGGCCTAAAATGTGGTCTATTTTAGAAAACGTTCCATGTGCTGCTGAGAAAAACGTGTATTCTGATGCTGCTGGGTGAAATGTTCGGTAAATGTCTGTTAAGTCTAGTTGATCTATGCAGCTGTTTAGATCTGCGGTTTCTCTGTTGA